GCTGTTTCCCCACATGACCCAAACGCACCATCGCTGAGGGTGGGAGGCCCCTCCTTCTTTAAAGGAGGGCGTGTCTGTCCGAGGAGCAGCCGCCTGTTTGCCAGAAACTTTTTCTTGCCTCTTTTAGCAGCTCGAGTTGAATGTGTGCCACCGCCCTTCTGTTCTGCACACAGGTCCGTTCAGCTGGTGGAGGAGCTGCAGGGGTCAACGCTGCTCAGGACGGATTTGCCTCCGTGTGTCTTTAGGACGGGCTGTGAGCTGCAGTGGAGTGACTCTGGGACGCTGAGCTGACTTTGCGATGGGGGACGTGATTTCCAGCCACCTGGATAAATCCAAGCGCGAGCTGATTTCAGGTAAGAAGCGGTTTGTCTGCGCCTTCTGCTTTGGCGTTTCAGCACGTGCGTCTGTGAATGTGAAAGATTTCAGAGGTTTGAATCTGATCCGTGTCATTAGAGGACTCTGGTGCCCCTGGTGGGGTTTTAAGTGACCAAAGCTTTCTTTTATAACTTCAGTTTATTTTGATCATGACTATTGTTTTGCCTGTGGTGTCGGTGAAGGTCGTTGGACGGATAACACTGTATTATGGATGGAAGTGGATTGTAAATGGGATTAATTTCCTCCGCACCCCTGCCGATACCTCTGAAGACAGGCAAAAACACAGGAAAAAATGTGTCTGTGGTTTATTTATTTATTTATCCACCTATCTCCTACAATTTAGTTTTTCTCAAATGTTGTATTAGTTGATGGAGTTTTTCTTACCCGAGAGTCTAAGAGCAGTTTTGTAGGAGCGTTTTAATTCGGTCATTTGTCTTTTTGCAGCTCTTTCTTCTTTTCCATTCCCCCCATAGTCTGAGTATGGCCAAATGCACTGCTATCTAATTTAACAAAGTATTGTATCAAGGTGAAATCTAAAATATTCTGACTGTGCCATTATGTTGTCAACACATTTACTATTATTTGTTGTCATTGAGGAGGTAGGTCTGTTGACTGGTTGTAAAAGTCAGTACATTTCTGTCATTTTTCCAGGATGTGGGTTATGCTTTGGATTGCATGGAAGTTGTATAAAACAATAACAAAAAACTTTCTGACAGTCACAATGTCTTAAAGTCTACTGGGACATTTGTAACTTTATTATTTTATTTGAATAGCAGCACAAAGCAAAATACATGACTTTTGATCAAGTTGAAGAAATGCAAGACCTTGAACTAAGGAACCTTGAAAATGTATTAAAATGGTTAACCATTTCTCAACATAGTTTATTATCTATCTTTATCAACAAACTGATTAATAAGCTAACTGTTGCAGCTGAAATTAATGCTCCCACATTGTGCCCATTTTCAGCAAACTAAAAACTTGCTGATTAAGCAAACATTTATTTAGGCTTTTTTGGACATTTATATTTGAAATGTCTCAGTGTGGACTGCAGGGTGGCGCAGTTGGTAGCACTGTTGCCTTCTTGCCGGTTCGCGTCCCGGTGGGGACACCGGAATCTTTCTGCGTGGAGTTTGCATGTTCTCCCCGTGCAGCGTGGGTTCTCTCCGGGTTCTCCAGCTTCCTCCCACAAGGTCCAAAAACATGTTGAGGTTAATTGGTGATTCTAAATTGTCCATAGGTGTGAATGTGCTTGGTTGTCTGTCTCTAAGTGTAGCCCTGTGATAGACTGGTTACCTGTCCAGGGTGTCCCCTGCCTTCACCCTGAGTCAGCTGGGATAGACTCCAGCCCCCCCGCGACCCTAATGAGGATTAAGCGGTGTATAGATAATGGATGGATGTCTCAGTGTGAATAGTCTGAGGTTAAAAAAACAAACAAACAAACAAACAACCCTGCAGATAGCTATCAGGGGTCCGTTTCACAAAGCAGGTTCAACAAACTCCGAGTGTAATCCTGAACTCTGAGTTGATCTACTATGACATAGGAAACTCTAAATTTCCGGTTCCAGAACAGTGGATTTGAGTTAGTTTAATTAACTCGGAGTAGTTTCACCTGAAGTTAAGCGCGTGCACCACAACTATAAAAAGCCAGCATCAATGGAGCCCCGAGTCGACCAGTCACCATGGCAACGGGGAAGCGGAGGGCTGCGTTTTTCACTTCACTAGAATTGAAAATCTTAATGTACGTTGAACATGTTTTTAAAAATAAGTGCAACACCGCTGCAGCTGCAAAACAGAGGGAGATGGCTGCTCGGGTCAGTGCTTAAGTTTAAATGTCGTCTTTTGCAATCAAAATAATTTTACAGGGGAAAACTGCTTGAATGGTAGCCTATTAATTTATTTCATTTAGGTGCAGTCCCGCCGGGCAGAAGCGCATTTGGCAGAAGCTTAAGATGAAATATAAAAACATTGTTCAAGTCTGAGGTTGCAACACAATGTCATTAACAGAATATAATTTAAAATTAATCTAACAGATCTCTACATCATTCACCTGCAGTCCTGTGGAACTGCTCCTTGATTGCTCTGACAGGTTTATGTCCAGGGAAAATGACAAAGATGGTAAGAGCCTTTTCAGGATGAGGCACACTTCTCTGACTGTCTGCATACAGTTGCCTAACTCAGATGCTCTGCATCGCCGACACTGTACAAAAACTTCCATTTGCAAAGAAACTCAGCGCAACACATAGTATCTGCTGGGATGTGAGAGCATGACTACGGTTGGTAATGCTGCACATGTAAGGACGGATTCGGTTGTATGTAGATGATGGACTGTGATGTGAAATGGTACCGCTCAAAAAGACAACTGTCCCGAAATGCTAGAATATCTATGTGTGGTCTGATAACCATCTCCCGACCAATATTTAATTCTCTGAGCAGTAATGCTGCACCTTCCTCCATGGGATTGTTATCAAAAGGACATGTCATGTTAGTGAAAAAAGTGGCCACCTTCTGTGCAAAATGGACTTGTAATATAGCGCACTGACTCTGATTTTTTTAAATTTTTTGACAGACGACACAATGAGGCTGTGCCAAAACTTGCCTGCTGACTGAATGAATGAATGAGGAAATGAAATAGCATGTGTGACTGAAAAAGTTTTAGTATCTTGGGATTGTGTTCATGGATGACAGGAAGATGCAGCATGAGACAGATGGTTCTGCGTCAGCAGTAATAGATTGTATCAAACAGTTGTGGAGGCTGTCGATTTACCTGTCAGTCTATGTTCCAAAGTTCAACTATGGTCACAAGCTCCTTGTAGTGACCGAAAGAATGAGATCATGGATACAAGCAACCAAAGTGATGTTTCTCCATAGGATGGCTGGGCTCAGCCTTAGAAATGGGCTCGGATATCCGGTGGGAGCTTGAAGTAGAGTTGCTGCTCCTTTGTGTTAAAAGGAGCTTGTTGAGGTGGTTCTGGGCAACTTCCTGTGGAAGTTTTCTGTGTACGTCCAACTGGGAGGAGAGCCTAGGGTCAACCCAGAAATTGCTGTAGGGATAAAAGATCTCATCTGACCTGGGATTATTCCCAAGATGAACTGGAAAACATTGCTGGGGAGAAGGATGTCTGGAATAACCTGCTTAGGCTGCTGCCTCTGTGACTTGACCCCAGATAAGCAAAAGAAGATGGAAAATAGGAAATTAATGTGTTTGCTTTCCAGTGGCTCTTTACCCATCAAACGAAGAGAGAAAACCCTTGAAAAGACAGAGACTGCACCCCTACTAGTTCCAAATTTTAAAAACAATCTTGTCTTTTCAATGTCAGACTAGCTTTGGTTTAAATGGTTTGTTTCATAGTCTGTAGCTTTTAAGGGCAGCTGAGCAGCTGTTTGACAGGCTCCCACAGGAAGAAGACTATATCTGCCTCTGTGACTGACAGATACTGAGGGAGTGTTTGCTCTAGGATTTTTTTCAGCAGCGGGGGCAGGCTCTGCAGATTTTACTTTTACAACCTGTTTATTGAATGGCCAGTGAAAAATGGCTTTTTAAAGAGGTGGTCGCTGATGCTCAGCAGCATACATGATGTAAGCTGATCCCCCTGCAGCCTGTTTCTTTAGTCTTCAGTCTTCACCTACAAATAGAAACAATAATGAGATTGTTTCTCTCAATTTCCTACACCCTTATCATTTTAAAGATGTTTCTAGTTTGTGTTGATGATATATTATTACAGTATTTTTTTACTTGACCATCCTCATTTATGAGTCAGTAAAAGGCTAATGATACCTGACAAGCATCATCTTCATCAGGTGTCTTTCTCTTCTTAGAGAAATATTTGAACAGGCTCATCTGAAGATGCAGTCAGCAGTTCCATCATGGTGTGCAGATATTAGCTTAATGCCGTCAGTTAGTTTACTCACGTTAGCGACACCGAGTTGGCACTGGGCCCACTTAACATACAGATATGTTACGTAACGTTGGCTGTAGGGGTGTGAATCTCTACCTTAAGAGGCGATCCGATCCGAATCTCGATACATGGGTTACGATACGATTCACTCACGATACATTTTAATACATTACGATACGATGCTTGAATCTTTTTGTGTGTTGAAAGAAATTTATCAGGTCAGAACAATGTCACTGTTTATCAAATACATCCAGACAAGACAGACTTTGCAAAAACTTTTCAACACTGAAAACATCTCAATGTTTACAAATTGCACAAAATAGAGGAAAAAACACTATAAGAGGATGAAAACAGGATATTTTTGAACAAGTAACTGTTTTTGTACTGTTTGCTCAGGTAGCAATAATCATATAGAGAACAATAAGTAAGCTGTTCATCAAGTGTAGCAGTGACAGTACCACAGTAACACAAGTGCAAGATACAATAAAGTGCCACACTGTAAACTAAATATCAACTTTAGGAAGCACCAGTGTAGAAATTCAAATACTTTTCAAAGTGCCATTCTGCTGTGTACTGTGCATCGAGGTCTTTAGCGCTATGAACAGTGCAAAATCTCCACAAACAATGTAAAACAAAACAGAATAACAGGAGCATTTTATCCCCTTTTTTATTTTTCACTCATCTATTCCTGTTTTTAGTTTGTCTTTTGAGAGACAAAATATGAATGCATCCTTGCACACTAGCTTTCTTTAACTTTACTATACTTGTGCAAAATATAACGTGTAAGTATAGTAATCTCACACACGCCTTTGCTTGTCGAGATTCTTTTTGAGGAAAATTAATTGATCAACACGATTCATGTTGCAGTACACTGTGTTGTGCGGAAACAATGTCTCCTGCAGTGCTGAATACTCTTTCTGATGCCACACTGGTGGCTGGTATACAGAGATGACAGTAGAGGTAGGTCCACCTGTGTTTTCCACCACTGTAGTGGGTTGTCATTCAGGGGCAAAGGAGTACGCTGCTGCTTTTTTCACTTCGAATATTTCTCCCAACAGCTGGTCCAGTGCTGCACTTTTCTT